TGCAACTCTGATTCCTGGTTCAATTTTAAGTTTTGAGAGTACCACGTTGTGGCCCCTGACCACCATCAACTGTATCACAGCAGCGTTTATCTTCTCTAAGGGAAAGCCGTTTCGAAAACCCATCTACACAAACTGTGAGTATGTAAAATTTAATTTTCCTTCTATTTCCCCACCTTCCCCAGAGTTGCAGTTCAGTGGTAAAATGATGGCTGAACTCTGGAATGGAGTCCTGGAATATTTACAGATGGTTGTAGAGCGCTTTTGTGACTTGATCTCATTCTTAGGAGCTCCCCCTCTACTTATCCACCATTTTGTTGTTGTGGTTGTTGTTTTGTTCTGCTTTCTATATTTTCTCAGCTTTACCTTGCAATTAAAAAAGAGGGGTGCCTGGGTGGCTCAGTCGGTCAAGCATCCGACTTCGGCTCAGGTCTTGATCTCACAGTTTGTGAGTTTGAGCCCCGCGTCAGGCTCTGTGCTGACAGCTCAGAGCCTGAATCTTGTTTCAGCTTCTGTATCTCCCTCTTTCTCTGCCCCTCCCCTGCTTGCACTGTCTCTGTCTCTCTCCCAAAAGTAAATAAACATTAAAAAAATTAAAAAATATAATTCCATTTAAAATGTTTTTTTAATGGAGTATTGAAGGATAATTCTCATAAGTGGTAGAAACCTGGGCAGGAAACTCCCCGTGTAAAGATAAACACATGCATTATTAAGCAGTCACGAGAGTTTGTCCCACTTAAAATCAAGAATGATTTTAGGCACATACATATATGTCAAGGTCCTTTGTAAAAGACTTTTCTAATCAATTCAGATACAACTTGACCTCTTTGTAGCTTCACAATATGGGACACGTTACTTTATTTTGTGCATTTATGGGACACGTTACTTTATTTTGTGCATTCCATGAATCACCAGTGAGGATGATCATATTTTCGTGGTTTTAGCCATCTCTTCTTCTCTGAATTGTCTGTTTCCATTTTTTATCCATTCTTTTCCACCAGGGTTGCTGTTCTATTCCTTATTTATTTGTATGAGTTGTTTATTCCTTTGTGATGTTTCTTCCCATTGCCTTTATGCACAGAGAGGTTATTGCCGTTGCAAAATCAAGTAGATTAACACTTATCTTGTTTTTTAAATTTCTTTTAATGTTTTTTAAATCTAATGTTAATTTCAGCATACAGTGTGAAGTAGAGATCAAACTACTTTATCTGACTAGTCACTTGTTTTCCCAGCAGATTTTATTACTTAATATTCCTTTTCGTCATTTGTTTCTCAACTGAATACAATGCCACCTTTGTCATACCTACATATTCATGTATACTTATGGCTTTATTATATATTTAATTTATATTATGTGAGTTTTTATATTATATTTATATATGTTATATACTTATATATTAGTGTATATATAATTAATTAGTTCCTAGACTATCTTTTCTGTCTCATTAACGTGGCAGCCTATTCTCGATCTACCACTATACTTTAAAAATTATAGTTTCATTTATGTAGCTATAGTTTTATAATGGTTTAATAAGCAGTAAGGTTGATATATCTTCAGTACTCTTCAGTTTTCAAACATTTTTTACTTCTCTTTCTTGTTCATCTTTCCAGATAGACTCTAGAACAAATTGTAAGGTTTTTTAAAATTTCTTTTTTTGAATTTTGATACTTTGGGGAAAATGTATTTGTTACACCACTAGGTCCTCACATTTAAAGACATATTATCCTTCTCAATGTGTTCATGCTTTATTTTAAAAAGGTGTTTAATGTTTATTTATTTTGGATGGGGGGCAGAGAGTGAGACAGACCCAAGCAGGCTCCAGGCTCTGCTGACAGCATACGGGTCTTGAACTCACGAACTGTGAGATCATGATCCGAGCTGAAGTAGGACACTTAACTGACTGAGCCACCCAGCTGCCCCAAATCATGCTTTCTTTCTTTTTTTTTTAAATCTTTTAGTAAATATTTGTAGTTTTCCCCATTATAGGTTCTGTGCATTTAAGAAATGTATTTAATGTGTTTTTAAAATATTTTTGTGTAAATATTGTGAATGACTTTTTCCATTATATTTTCTAACTGGTTATCACTAGTGCATGTAAAAGGTATAGTGTTTACATTTATTTTCTATCCAGAACCCTTTCTGAATTTTGTCAAAGAATTAATCTGTGATTCTTGAGGGTTCTAGAAAGATAATTAATATCATCTGTGAGTAATGTTCCTTCTTTTTCCAATGGTTAAAAGGCTTATTTACATCTTCTGTCTTAGTGTACAGTCCAGAATTTCCAGGATAATATTAAATAATCGTGGTGGCAACAAAAGAATTTTACTCCTTAATAAAAATATTTCCAAAAGTTTTCACCTGTAAATATAATTTTGAATATTGGTTCAAGGTAGACTACATCATGTAAAGAAATGCCTTTTAATTTCCAGGAAATCAAGAGTATGTTTAAATCAAGAATAGGAGATGGGTTTCATCAAATGCCTTCCCATCACCTACTGAAATGATGGTACCTTTTTTCCTTTGACTTACTATTAGAATGTGTTATATTAATAAACTTATTATTAAGTCAGTTTCACATTATTTTTTCAAGTTTATTTATTTTGAGAGAGAGAGAGAGTTTGGGAGGGGCAGAGAGAGAGGGAGTGAGAGAATCCCAAGCAGGCTCTGCACGGTCAGCACAGAGCCCATCGTGGGGCTCAAACTCACAAACCATGAGATTACGAGCTGAGCCAAAGTTGGACAGTTAACCAACTGAGACACCCAGGTGCCCTGTCATCTTCATATTCTTGAGCAAACTCTACTTACATGTGGTGGGTTATACTTTTACTGAATTGAATTTTATAGTTTTTTTGATACCTGCATTTTATATTGATTTTTGTGTGTGTAGTGTTTTGTTAGGTTTGAGTATCTTTAGGCTTGAAAACTCTGACTTTTTCTTTCCTGGGGAAAAAATACTTTATAGATATAAATGGTCTATTCCTTAACAATTTGCAAGAACCCAGTATAATAATCTGGCTCTAAATCCTTCCTTTGAAAGAATTATTTTTTAAAGGATTGATGTAAGTTATCCTGTTGCTATTTATTTTATTTTTTTATTGTTTATTTACTTTTGAGAGAGAGAGAGCGGAGGAGGGGCAGAGAGAGAGGGAGACATGGAATCGGAATCAGGCTCCAGGCTCTGAGCTGTCAGCACAGAGTCTGATGTGGGGCTCGAGCTTGCAAACCAGGAGATCATGACCTGAGGTAAAGTGGGATATTTAACCAACTGAGCCACCCAGGTGCCCCAAGTTATCCTTTTTTTTTTTTAATATATTTTTTTATTTATTCCTAGGAGAGAGAGAGAGACAGCATGAGCAGGGGAGGGTCAGAGAGAGAGGGAGACACAACAGACTCTGAAGCATGAGATCATGACCTAAGTGAAAGTCGGACGCTTAACCGACTAAGTCACCCAGGCGCCCCCAAGTTATCCTTTTTAAACTGTTTTAAAATAACAGGCTTTCCCACAGATATTTCTATTTTGTTGAGATTGTTGGGCCTTAGCATAAGATTTTGAGTGGTATGTTCTTATTATTTTATTGCCCTCTATAACTCTTAATATTCTCATCCTATGTGTGTTATGTTTCATATATTCTTACCAGAACTGTATTTTTGCTGGCTTTCTTTAAAAGACCAGTTCTCAGATTTAATACTCCTTATGCTTTCTCTTTTCTAACTTATTAATTTTTGCTTTTCCCATTCTTTTCCTTCCTTTTTACTTTCTCTGAAGAATTGTCATGTTTGAGTTGACTTTATAATGTATGTATTTTCTTTGATTCTTGTGAAACCAGAAAATCATTCAAGATCAACAATTAAGGTTTGGGCCACTTTCACATGCCTTTAATTATGACTGGATATCCTCTCTGACCCACCTAGTTTTCAGAATAGAGATGTTTCATTTTCAAGTAGGAAGGGATTTTGTTTTTATTTCCCTAGTCCTCTTTATTCAACAGCCTGCAAATGGATTTGATTTCCTTTTTTGGCCCAACTGATGCTTTGAATTTTGTTTTAAACCTGCATGTTGGAAGGGATTTTTCATTAATGGTTAATAATTTCTAGTTCTCTTGTCCTGATCAGAAAACTTAGCCTGTAAAATTTCTGCTTTGGAGAATTTACTACAGTTTTGCCATCATATGGCATAACTTGTAATCTCTAATTTTCTAAATAAGTCATAGATACATTAGAAAAGCAAGGGGCTCCTGGGTGCTCAGTCAGCTAAGCATCCGACTTTGGCTCAGGTCACGATCTCACAGCTTGTGAGTTCAAGTCCCATGACAGCTCAGAGCCCGGAGCCTGCTTCGGATTCTGTGTCTTCTTCTGTCTGCCTCTCCCCAGCTCACACTCTGTCTCTCTCTCTTTCAAAAATAAATCAACATTAAAAAATTTAAAAAAAAAGAAAAGTAAGCTTCGTTCCTATTCCTGTGTTAGAAACATACATTTACTATGTTAAACTAGTTTTAGTAATTATTTACAATTCTGTCACTACCACACCTCCTTTGTCTTCTATAGCTCTTTGTCAAAAGTTTTGAGAGCATGCTAAGGCCTTCCTTTAATTTTATATTTTCTATAAACTTCTCCCTGAATTTCTTATATTTTTTAGTTTTGATTCAGTGTTTGATGATGCCATTGGCTCTTGTCACAACAAATCAAAATTCTGCTTTATGTTTTAAGGTTAATCACTTATAGTCCTTTTTTTTTATTGTGAAGGTATTTTACAAGGAGGATATGTTATATTACATTGGCTAGTACTTTCGTTTGAACAGTAACTACAAAGTCTTTTTGTATAAATTGAATTAAGTGTGAACTGAATTACTTATATCACAGTGACTGAAAGCTTGTGGGTAGCTCAAGCGCTATATCGAATATAACTGATAATCTTACATTTTAAAAAAGTTTTGTAAACAAATATTCTAACAAAATAATCTACTAATAAATCATTTATTCTCAAAAGTCCTTGGAACTACTATTAAAATATCAAGCAATTTTATTTTCAACTCTGTATATTTCTTAACAGCCTTTGGTGGATCAACTTTATAATGAGACGACATAGAATAAAATACAAACTTAATCTTTATGGAAACAGATGTGAATATTTGCAAACCCTTTCCCTTCCTTGTCCACAAACAGCCTGTAGTGTCTTGCCCAGGACATGTCCTCCCAAACGACTTGTGCAAAAAGAGTTACCATTCTTTCAGGCTCCCTCATCAAGAGTAACCAATCTAGGGAAGCAACATTCACTTCTGTTCTTCACTATGTTCTCCAATCAGAGCTGAAATCACATCAGGGCCTTATGATTTTGCTACTTCACTGGTCATTGGTGTGCCCACCTGGCCTGCTTTTCAGATCATTAGTCTAAGGACTGTGTGATGTGCGTAGCACTCGGCTCCGTTGCTGTGATGACCGGGCCTTCATCAGAATGGAAATTTGGGGCATCATCTTCCTCCCAACACCTGGGTCCCTAGGACACAGAAACAATGACATAAGTGAAAAATCCACACAGCCATCTCCTGGGCTCTTCTTATCACCAAGCTGCACAGATCACTTTATTTTGGGAAATTAGCGATCCTGCAGCCCCTGCTTTCCATCTCTCTGCTTCACACGCCTCCCAAGCAAGCCTGGGTCTTCTGGGAGGTGTTGCATCTAGTTGTGTATGTAAAGTGAAGCTTGGATGAATATGAGGGTGCGTGAAGGTGCACAGGGGTGAAAACAGAGCTCTGGTGTCTTCAGAACAACAGGGCCAGCTGTAGAGGGACTGTCATCTCTGATTTCTGGTTGGTATAGACCTATATAGAGTTGGGGGCTGGCAGACCATAAGCCTGGGAGTAAATGAGGTGGAGAGAATCCAAGAGAACATCCCATTTGTTTGTTTGTTTGTTGTTTGTTTAAAGCTTGTAAGGATCCTTTACATCATGACAACACTGATGTAATGGAATTGTTTGGGCCTGGAGGTGCTAATCTCAACAGAAAGCATTTGTAAGGCACATCTACAAAGTGTGTAAATGCTCTGTGGATGCAGACGTGGGCAGGGTTGGAGGGATAAGAACAGTGGTATCTGCACAGTGCATCCTGGGAAGGTTAGCTCCCAAAAGCAGAGGCATTTGGGCAGGTTGGAGAGAAAGAACCCAGCAGATGTACATGGTAGCTCCTCATTCTTTCAATTCAGTCCTAGAGAAGGGCATACACAGTCACTTTTAAGTGGTTATAGTCTAGTAGATCCATTAAGGAAGATCTTATAAAGTAGAGTGTTACACAGCCATATGAAATAAAGCTTTGTGTGAGAGGACTGGCTGGTCCTTAAAAAGAAAGTAGCATCTGAATTGGGCTTTTTAAGAAAGATTGACATGAAGAATATCATCTACACAGGGTATGTCGTGAACAAAGGCCTCCGTGGAAGTAGCAGGTTTGTGATTTAACCTCCCTAAGACACATAAGGAAGATAATCAGAGACTAGGTCAGAAAGGCAGATAGAAATTGGATTGAGGAAGGCTTTGAATGTCAGCTGAAGACCCCTGGACTTTATTCTCCAGGCAACAGGGAAGAATGAAGTGGTACTAAGAGGAATGACTGTTCATCCATTCATGTGCAATTCACCAGACCCGCAGTGATAAAGCACTGGGGCCTCTCTGGTGACCCTTTACATGGGCTGGTCATTACATGGTGGCCCAGACCTCCTGGACTTCTCAGCCAAGGTGACTCCTTTATGGAGTGTCTTATATTAGATTAGCAGTTTTCCACAGCACGCTTTTCAAGGAAAGATGTGAAGATGTCACCTTTGTCTGGTAAGCATTAGAACATATTTTAAAACATATGAGGATATATCAAAACATCTGAAGATGTATCCGATATTTGCCCAACAGAGATAATTGATTCTGCAATGTGTGCCAAATTATATGAAATATTCGTTCAGCAACTAAAAATAATGTTTGGTGTTTCTTCAGATATATTTTCATTTCTGCTGATATCTGCCTTGGGCCTCACAGTTTTCATTCTGTTTTCTGACTTTCAAGATATATATCATGGAATGGAGGTAAGTGGTATTCATTTCCACCTCTGGAGTGACTCATATGCACATGGGACTGCATTTGCCCCGTAATTTGCAAGTCAACTACTATATTCTCTTCAACCGTTTAGTATTGTGAGGCTATTCTCAGTTCCTGGAGGAGCAAATAACTTATCTCACATATGCTGACCTCTGCTTGTTCTATTATCTGTATTGTCAGTTGAGAACATTTATCTTATTCACACCTAAAAGTAGGTTTGGATGCTTTATCATATACTAATATACTAATGTTATACTAATATAACAGATGTTATACTAATATAATAAATTAATGTGTTATTACAATAATTCAAGTTTCAGTTTTTAAACATATTGAAATCCTTTATAATGTAGTTGTAAAGAGTAAGGAAAAGTAGACTTGTAGGCCAGTCATGTTCTGTCTGTCAGGCATTGACTAGAGGGAGTTTTATTTCAGTGGGCATCACTTAATCCAAAGTGTGGTGGGTTGAAATAAAATTTATGAAGAGGTCATTGAACCCATTCTTAGATCCAGCATTGTGGGAGAAATAAAAGAAAGAGAAGGATTGATTCTTCAGTTTCAGTCTGTAGTTTTGTTGGGAAGATGAGTCCTATGCGAGTGAAATGAGGTCACGGCCACTTGGGACCACTGCTTGTAGAAGGTGTAAAATAGAAGTGGGAAGAACCCAGGAATAAGGGACTCTCGCGGGGCCTGTACCCTGTACCATTAAGGGGGGGGGGGGCGCATGGAGGAGGCCCAACTTGATCTGGGTCCAGATGAAAGGTTGGATTTTGCTAAGTAGGCCATAGGGGTATTTCCAACCGGGAGAATATCCTGAGCACAAGCGGAGAGGGCTGGAAGAATCTCTTTTGTCTTGGACATGCACAAGAACGTAAGGGGGCAGAAATAAAAATGCAAAGCAAGGCTTGTTTCACAGAATGCTTGGAAGATTGGCAAAGATGGAGGCATCGTGCTCTGGAATGTGAGGAAGGCGTGGCGTGCCTGGATGAAGGTGGCCAGGGAAGTTTGGGCTTTCTCCTGAGAGCAACAAGGAGTCAATGAAGATATCTTAGCAGGCTTTTCAGCAGGGCTTTTTAGGACTAATTAGATGATGGCACAGAGGCTATATGCTGGAGCAGAGAGGCTGTGGAGAGAGACGCTGTTAGGAAATGAAAACCTAGGCCATTGAGTCACTTGCTGGACATTATGAAGCTCCAGGGTGTGCTTGGCACAAGGGGTTCCAAGATATATAAGATGTGGGCACAGCTCTCAAGTAGTTCAAAGGCTAGGAGGGAAAGCCATCCCATGAGTAGATCATTCCAAAGCAGTGTGACTAGTGTTTTCCAGACCAAGGGATGAAGAAGAGTCCTCCCAGATCGGTGTGGGGGTGGGGGGTCCAGCGAGGGAAAGGCCCAGGTTCTCCACTCTGATCTGACCTACTGCCACATCTTACAACTTTCTCCAGACAGCTCTGTGCCCAGGTGCTGTATCTCACCTCCCTGAGAAAACTGTCTCTATCTGGGGAAAAAAATAAAGTGAAATAACCCATATCAGAGTAGGGATGAGAATTGCAGGGGTGGGGGGGCAGAATTCAGATGCTGTGGAAGATCTGTGGTCCTAATGGCAGCTCAGCCCCCATCTTTTACTTTGGGATAGAAAGGGGGGTGTGTGTGTGAGTAGTCTTTTGCTACTGCTGCAGACATGGGAAGTTGGAGTGTCAATATCTATTAGGTAGTCATATGTGGTGGGCAATATGTACCCTTTAATCCTTAAAAGGAGCTGGGTTGTGTGCGTTCAACGTTGATCAAGCCATTAGATTTAGGGCTGGGAACATTGGTTCAGAAAATTTCCACCTAGTATCAAAAGTAACTGGAAATCTGGCCCCTTTATGTTTTACTCCTACATCAATTTTACTGAAAGATTGAACTCCAAGTAGATTTTTACTTTGGGAGGATTAGTAGTATTATTAGATGAATGACTTAATCTTGCATCCCCTTCCCTCTATCTGAAAAGATAAAAATGAAGAGAGACTCACAGGTGTCAAAGAGTTCTGTCTCATGTCTGTGACCCAGGGCACATTGACTGAATGTTTATTGTCAGGCAGTGGAGGAAACACAGGCCGAGAGGCAGTCGGTTCTCATTTGAATTCTGACTCTGCTATTTATTGATTGGCTTTGCATCCTTAGGCAAGGTACTGACCTCATCTGTGAAGCGTGGAAAGCAATGCCTACCCTCCAAGCTTAGAGAGCTGTTACAAAGACATAAATTGAACATGATAATTAATGTGTTTTCCCCCAAATGTAAGGTCTGCACATTGTAAAGGTAGGATTTCTTTTTTTAACAGTTCATCCCAACTGTGACGTCATGGAGGGTTTTGATTTTGGTGGCAGCTCTCAGCCAATTCTGTGTGGCCTTCCTCGTAGAGGTAATTTCTGTACATCTCTTACTCTCTTTCTGGGAATAGGAACAAATAAAGGGTTTCATTCTCAACAGACGCCTGTGTTTTAGATGGACCATTTTTGTCTCCCAAAGTGATCGTTATTAAGGGTTTGTAAAAACTGCAGTTTCTCTTTGGGGGAAATTCATGGAGAGTGATTTAAAATTCTCTAAAGGCTGCATAGAAATGTTCTTGGGATCTGTAGCCTGGAAAGCAAAACATCAAATTAACACTAATTTTTGTCTCCTATGAAGGCATCGTATTATACTTTTCTAGTAATATCTATAGGCTAGTAGAGATTAGACCAAGTGACCTACCACGTCTAAAATTCAATGAAACCTTTCAGAATGAAGAACTGTCTTCACAAGGGCTTCCTTAATTAAGAGAGAAAGGAAGCCATTGCTCATTCTAGTCAATTCTTACTCTTAAAAGCCTCCCCCTTTAGTATTTTTCTTCTCTTCAGTGTCATTAAATGACTTTACCTACTTGGTGAAAGTCTTGGGCACTATTCTTTTTAAGGCACAGTTTAAAAAAATAGATTCATGTATTGTAAATCCTTTGGGAAAAGGGTTCAAACAAATTTATGTGTGTGTGTGTGTGTGTGTGTGTGTGTACGTCTGTGTATATACAACACACACAGACACACACACATATATATCATTATATACAATGAGTGTAAAATTTCTCATACTCTTTAAGGAATTCAATTTTTGAGACTGTATATATTTTTAGTTTTAGATTTTATTCATTTACTTTGAGAGAGAGAGAGAAAAAGAGAGAGAGAGAGAACATGAGTGGGGCAAAGACAGAGAGAGAAAGAGAAAGAAAGAGAATCCCAAGCAGGCCCTGTGCTGACAGCACCGAGCCCAAAGCAGGGATTGACCTGAGCCAAAATCAAGAGTCAGATGCTTAACTGAGTAACTGAGGCACCTGAGACTATATAGATTTTTAAGTAACCCAAAAGGGAAAAAAACCCCTACATGTATGAAGGTATTTATCATA